CCCCAAAACCCCAAAACCCCAAAACCCCAAAACCCCAAAACCCCAGACAAGGAACAGAATATTGAAATCACTATAAAACAGTGAAAATCCAGTATACCAGATTAATTTGAATGAGTATTTCACAAAGAAAAATTATTTGAAAATTATTCATTTGACGTTTTAGTTATGTCCTTGCTCTTCTCAGAGAGTTTCTCCCTGTCCTTTTGGGAGCTCTCCTCAGGCTTCTCGCCAGGAGCTTCGCCTTTCTTATAAAACCTACCATTTCTATCTCTAGGTCTTCTATTGGCATGCTTGACTCTTGACTCATATTTAATTTTACACTGAGAGTTCTAAAATATAGTTATTTTGGAAGGAAGAAGTCTAACAGTTTAGTGGGATATATAAAATTACCTTGTTTTTAGGAGCCTCTTGCTCCTCTCTTTGCTCTCTCTTCTGCCTCTTCTCTCTCAAAATTTTGATACGTTTATACTGTTTTCTGTTGACATAGATCGGGGGCTCATCGAGAGATCTTGGTTGTAATGGAAGCTTCCCCTAAAGATTGGATACGGGTTCACTTACCTTAGCCGCCATTAAACTTGTATGGTACATATGTTTATAGTACAATCAGCTGGCAAGCATTTCCTGGCTTGAAGTGCCGCTCATTGGGTGCAAATTAAGAGGGTTTGAGTACATCAACTCACTCTGCATCACAGGAGGCAGGAAATCTGGCCTAGGAGGTAGGAAAGAGCTCACAGGGCTCGGATTCTTTGGAGGTGTAGTGCTGTGTGCCATAGTCTCAGGCTCTAATTCTGATGCATCATTGACCTCGTTCTCCTTGCTTTCCTCGATTGCCTTTCTAGCAGCCTTCTCCTTCCTCTTTTTACTTGATTTAACTTTCTTTGCAAAGTGCTCTATGGTACTTTGAATTTTGCTTGCTGATTTAAAAACAGATTTCTTCTTTGTGCTGGACATCTTCTGCGGTTATCGTATACTTATTTGATTGGATATTTAAATTAATTTTGTCAATCTATAGCCAATAAAAGGGGTTTTGGGGTTTTGGGGTTTTGGGGTTTTGGGG